AGCCACAGACAATCTAGATAAACCAACAGGCGTGGCTATGTCCGGATAAAACTTCAGGCACTAAAACTCCAGAAACGTGAATTTCATGTAATTTTCACATGTCACAAAATAGTATTCTTTTCATTTTTCTCACCCCACCAACCATTTAAAAATGTGAAAACAATCTTAGATCATGAGGTGTACAAAACCAGATGGCAAGCCAGATCTGGCCCTTGGAGGGCTAGAGTTTTCAGACTCCTGTCCTCAAGCACAGAGGAATGGCTTTGGGTCCTCATCCCACAAACTAGTGCCTTTCTCATGCCTGTTCATTGTTAACAATTAACAGGGTTAGTGTGAAAATTAACTGCGAGAGCTCCTGGTATGTGTAACACCCAGTTCTTTCTCAGAAAGTTCCAGCGACCCAAGGTCTGCAGGCCCCACAGATAAATATCTCTACCACAAGCTTTGAAGAACACAGCATTCATTCAAGAACACTTACTACTTCTATGTCACCAGCCACAGGGGATACAGACACAAAGAAAAGGTTGTATCCCAGCCCCTCCCTCCCAGGGCTCCTAGAAATGAAGAGATAGGGTAGGGGAGACAGAGTAGAGAGGTGAATCAGCTTGCCAGATTGTGCCAAGTGCCCCCAACCAGGGGAACCCACAAGCCTCCCCTCTTGAATACACAGATACCAACAGAATCCACCATATTCAAGTCTGGGGAAGAGTAAATGAAATTAAGAGTATATAGGAACACAGTGTCTAGCCTGCGGCCAGCACTCCTTACCTGTTCCCATTCTCACCTCCGCAGACCTTGGAAGACCCCTCAAAACAGTCTTCCCAAGTTCAGAGTAGAAGCCGGTGGTGCATTTAGAATCTTTTCTAAGTACTATACCAGATTCTGAACAAGAAGGAAACTCTCTCCCTCGTTCCTGGGCACCCTGGCCCAAGCTCCTGCGGCTACTAACTAAACCCCCCAGATGAAGCTCCCCAGAGCTCCAGGACATTTTGTGCAAGTGACAGCTGCAGCGAGAAGACACAGGGCGGACCTCCACCAGGAATGTGCTGAGCCCTGCCTGGCGGCTGGGGTCAGGGTCTCTGACCACAGATCAGTTCCACTCCTACTTGCTTCCTGCAGGGAGCATTACCCGATTATGCAAAGTAGTTGAAATCTTTTCAAAACGAAGAAGCCACCAGCATTTGAGGCGCCCAGCCTTCAAAATACCACGTCCAAGGCTGGCTAAATGATGGGGTTAATTCCAGTAATACTAATAGCTAATCTTTCAACAGCTCCTACCACGAGTCAGGTACTTTAAATGATCTCATTCAATCCGCACAACCCCCTAAGGGACAGCTACTAACAACATCCCCATTTTACAAATGGGGAAACTGAGGTTCGAGGGCGTTAAGCTGTAAGTTCACGATTTTAGAGGTAGTAACCCGTGCCAGGCAGCCAAATTCCAGAGCGTCCTTCTCACCGTCTCTCCCTGTACCCTCAAACCCGCTCCTCTTCATTCCCCTCTGGAATTCTCTCCGGAGCCATCCCCGACTTCCAGGGCCCGGCGGAGACCGAGCGAGCGGCCCATCCCCCACCTCCTTGCAGAGCAAAGGCCGGCACCTGGGGCGTGAGCATGCACTCGTAGTCAAGAACAGCAGACTTGTGTAAGCACGTGCAAGCTCTCCTGTTTTGGGGCGCGCAGGGGCTCCGGCTTCGTCCGGTCAGCCCTCCCGGGCTGCACGGGCAGGGCCCTCTGCTCCCCAGTCATTCGCGTTCCCGCCCGCTACCGCCACCGGAGACCCGGCCGAATTACCCAGTTGCGGGCCCGGAACGCCTGCACGCATCTTGAGCCCAGCGCGCCCCTGCCGCCGTACACCAGCACCCGGCGCGCCTCGCCCGCTGCCGCCGCCATCCTACTACTCTCGCCGGGCTCCCGAAGCTCAGAATGCCCCGAGCCCGAACGCTGCGCCCGGGATCGCCCGGCCCCGCCCCGGCCCGGCCCGCCCACCGACCCGGCCAAGAGGGACCGCGTGGCCGCCAACCCTGCGCGGGGCCCGCTGCTGCCGCCTAGCGCGCGGCCACGCTGGGCGAGTATCGACACCCTGCAGGTGCGCCAGCAGAGCCCCGCAGCCCGCCCGCCTCTAGGTGCCGGCACCCGCTGTGTGCAGGGCGCGGGGCTAAGGGTGGGGAGGGTGGAGAGCAGGTGTGCGCTCACGATGTTGAGAGTCCACTGGGGACACAAACAAAACCATGTATATATTTTACCTTTAAGTAAGAGTGCAGGCAATAATAATAATAATTTTAAATAAATGAATGAATGAATGAATGGTGCAGGCTCTGAAGCTCCACGGCTTGGCTTCCCTGTTTAATAGCTGAGTGCTCCTAAGCAACTTGCTTAACTGCTCTGTGCCTCAGTCCCCTCTCAGTGAAATGGGAATACTAATGGTCTGTCCTCCTATAGTTCTGGAAAGGATTTTCTTAAAATAATACTAGAATACTGGGGCGCCTGGGTGGCTCAGTGGGTTAAAGCCTCTGCCTTCGGCTCAGGTCATGGTCGCAGGGTCCTGGGATCGAGCCCCACATCGGGCTCTCTGCTCAAGCAGGGAGCCTGCTTCCCCCTCTCTCTGCCTACTTGTGATCTCTGTCTATCAAATAAATAAATACAATCTAAAAAAAAAAAAAAAAACTAGACTACTTAGAGCAGTGTGTGGCCAGTAGTAGGAGCTCAATAAATGCCCATTGACATTATTAATATAATTAGTTTTGCCACTCCTTCTGTTACCATCACTGCACATCTTAGAGATTGTGAGTTTACGAGAAAGAAAATGCCAGGCTCTGTTAGTGGGGCCAGTTGGTGGGGCTTCACTGTGGACCTTTACCATTCCTGTCACATGGGGTCTTACATATGGTCACAGAGGTCCAAGGACCTATTATTGGACTCACGTCTTTAACTGTGTCTCTAGCAGACCAAGGCCTGTTGTACCATAAGTAGTCATATTTTTTAGAACTCTTGTAATAATTTTCATGGGTTTTTTTTTTGTTTTAAAAGCATTAATTTGTGAAGTGTTATTCATTAAAATATAGTATACTACAATTTTTGTATCACTGTTTTGGCAATATTATACATGTTTGTGTCACCCTCCACCCATACGCAGTGTGTCGTGCATGTAGCAGACATACAGATGTTTGCTCAGTAAGTACCCTTGTGCCAGATAAGACACAGAAATACCTTCTTGGAGAACAGGATGCCAACCGCAACACCATTTATTATCAGAAGCGTCATTACCAAGAACAGAATTACTAGAAGTCTAGATGAGGAGATTAACACCACTTATTTGATGCCCTCTGTATACCGTAATCTGAATGTGCTATTTCATTTTACTTTGTACAACAATCCCATGCCATATTAGGAAACTGAGGCACCAGAGCCTCAAGCACTTGCCCAGAGGAGTAGGAATTTGAACTCAGGTCCTCAGTAGAGTTATACTTAAGCATACTTCCATTCAGCACCTCAAGGGCTTATTGGGAATCATTTGTTTCCCATATTTTTCTTAAAATAATCATTCTAAAAATAATTGCTTAATCCCTAAAACACCAATAGTTGACATAGGCCCATCATCTGAGGGAGAAATATGATGCAAAGGTATCACACAGGTCCAAAGCATGCTTAACATTACTATAAGAATAATAAATGTTATTGATCATTTATTAATACACCAACTCCTCTTCTCAGCCTTTTGTATATCTTCATTACCAGAAAAACATTTGCTATTTCAAGGTCATTGTGATGAAGATGACCTGCTATATTTCAAAGACCTAAACTCCAGCCCCAGCCCTGATATCCAGTTTTCTCATGAGAGGGTTCATCAGGATAGAACATCCCTCATCCCTTGCCTGCCATGAAGGCTTGTTGCAGCATTGTGGGGGCCGGGGCGGGGGAGACAACAAGCATCTAGTAAAAGCCTTCTGTATGAGGAAAAGATCTACACAAGCTTCAGAGACACTCTTGTTTATTTTCATTATGGAGAGACCACAGAAGTGAACCCCACTATAAGGAAGGAAACTAATGTTTCCATTCCCATGACCCTCTGTCCCCTCATTGCTTTCCAAGTGAGGTTTCTGGAACTCCTGTCCATTAACAATGCAAACTCCTGAACCCCCCCTCCAGACCTCGGTGACCAAATAAACAATGTCCTGTGCCACTTCTGCCAAATGTGACCTCCCAAAACTATTGAGAGTTGCTGTTATCAGTCTCACATGACGTCAAGTTGGCTTACAGTAATAGACTAAAAATCAAAATTGAAAAGCCATGGTATAAGATAGAAAGTAGGAAATATTTCATTCCTAGTGGCTATACATTAAAAGAAAACACACACACACACACACACACACACACACACACAAATTTTCAGTATTAGAAGTAAAGTCCCTGACAAGGCGATCATTTGCTAACACATTAGAAAAAGACTTTTCTTTCCCACTTCAGATGACACAAGGTTTTTGGTGGGGGAGGTGCTGTTGGAGGACAGGAATGTGAGTGTTGGGGTCCAGACTGCCCCAGTCCAGCCACAAGTTGACTTCTGCTGCAATTTACCCACAGCAGATTCACCCAGTGATAAATCCACGCATCATATAGCCTGTCTACACATTTCAATTAAAAACCTTGAGAACGGGGTGCCTGGGTGGCTCAGTGGGTTAAGCCTCTGCCTTCGGCTCAGGTCATGGTCTCGGAGTCATGGGATCGAGCCCCGCATCGGGCTCTCTGCTCAGCAGGGATCCTGCTTCCTCCTGTCTCTCTGCCTGCCTCTCTGCCTGCTTGTGATCTCTCTGTCAAATAAATAAATAAAATCTTTAAAAAAAAAAACAAAAAAAAACCTTGAGAACAGAGGTCATCCCAAGGTATGAATAACGGTTCTGGAGATCCTGACAGCAGTGACATTTCACAGAAAGAAATGCCCAGGCACACAGCCCAGAGCTCGACATTTGACACCATGCATTGTGGGCAGCATTCAAGTGCTAACCCTTACATGCTCAGTTTCCTTCTATTGCATGCATTTTTTTGAGAATAGTTAGTGTTTCTTTATAGTCAGATCTACCTAGTTTTTGCCTGCTAATAACTTCCTGGCCATCAAGAGGTCCACGCCAGGGTTATTTAAATACCTCAAAGGAAAAATTAAACCCGCTGTTGAAATAGTAGTCTAGTGGGAGATATATGGTTACTTCCCTCAGTAACACACGCCTCTACACTTGAGTCAGGTGAAGGCGGTCTCTGTAGAAACTTCCGGATGTGCTGATAGTAAACACAGGCTGTGGAGGCAGGCAGTGAGGGAGGACCAGAAGATGCACTCGAAATCCTGAAATGCCGTGTTTGGAAGAGCTGACCCTGGAGCCGGAGACCGCAGCGTGTCCAGAGAATGCCAACCACCCTTGCCGCCCCTGGGACACCTGCAGGATAACCTGCACCCACTAGAATGCCTGGATGGTTCAAAAAGGCGTGGTATGGGCTGGCATCTTTACTCAGCTTCTCCTCCTTTATCCTGATCATTGTTGCCCTGGCAGCACCCCACTGGCTGAGTGGGAAAATCCTTTGTCAGACTGGAGTGGACCTGGTCAATGCTACCGACCCAGAGCTGGTCAAGTTCATTGGGGATATTTACTACGGGCTCTTCCGAGGATGTAAAGTGCGACAGTGCGGGCTCGGGGGCCGCCAGTCCCAATTCACGAGTGAGTATATTTGGGGTACACAAGCTGTTTCAGGACACTTTTCTTTTTTAATTTGTAAGAGTGCTTATGTCTAACTGTGGAATTTGAATTCTGCCTCAACTTAAGGCACGTTGACATTCCTGTTCACCACCAAGAACATTTCTTTCTTTCCTGAAGAGGCTTATAGAAACATTAAAAACGGGGATTTGTATACTTCTGTAGTTCACCTCTATTAGAAATAACTTAAAATATTGAGCGCTTATGAGTATCAGACATTCTGCTAAATGTTTTACATGGCTTCTCTCTCGTAAGCCTTAAAACAAATTTATGAAGAAGGAATTATTAACGTTTCCATTTTGCAGAGGACTACACTGAGACTTGGAGAGGTTATATAACTTGCCTGAGGTCCCCCAGCCAGGAAACGGCAGAGCCAGACTTCAGACACCTGCCACGTGACTGGGATGTTCTCAGCCAGCCCAGCACGCTTCCACTTCTATTTATATAAAACCTCCACAGGCTGAGAACAGGCAAAGAGGCTGTGTGCCTGGGCTCTGGAATCATACTACTTGGGTTGAGAGCCCAAGTTGGGTGATCCCTGGAGGGGAGCCCTGGGGCAAGACACTGACTGCCCTCCATGAACATGAGTAGTCAGGGTCATCTGCTGACATCCAGGCTGACCTCAGAGCTGCTCTGGGTGTAAATAGAGCAGAAATCCAAGCCCAGCTTTACAAAGGGTCTTCTGGGAATTAAAAAACAAAGCAAAAAAGTCAATATTCTGCAAGTTTTTAGAATCAACTAGAATGCTCCAGAGAACAGTGTCCTACACAAACATAATTCATCAACATAATACAATGCAAGGGGATAAGGACTTGTACTCATTTGATTTCTATATTTCAGAATTGTAGTTTTTAGAATCCTGCCCAGGGTTAAGTATCTTATTAAATACATAAAGATAGGGGCACCTGAGTGGCTCAGTGGGTTAAAGCCTCTGCCTTCAGCTCAGGTCATGATCCCAGGATCCTGGTATCCAGTCCTACGTCGGGCTCTCTGCTCAGCAGGGAGCCTGCTTCCCTCTCTCTCTCGCTCTCTGTCTACTTGTGATCTCTCTCTCTGTCAAATAAATAAATAAAATATTTTTAAAAAAATACATAAAGACAGAAAGCTAAAGCCATTAACAAATATGATAATATGAGCTGGCATCACTTATATACATAAAAGAAATACATATTTGTTATGGATATTCAGGAAGAAATCTCGGGGAATATTTATATTTACCCAGCAATTAAACTGGACCAAGGGTATTGGAAAAATACCTTTAAAAACATTAAATTCCAAATTCCATTAAAAACATTACACACACCCACACACAGAAAACACATATACATAAAGAATTAAAAATAAAGGTCATCAAAAGGAGACCATGACATGATACACACTAGGTGATTCCGCATTGGGTCTGTTTGCTTTAAAAGACATCACTTGGTGAGAAAATTGGCGGAACTTGAATGGAGTGTCAGGATTAAGTGGCAGTCATGTGCTAGCATTAACTCAATGATTTTGCGACTATGGTTCCGTAAGGCAATCTCTTTCTGAACGAAATAGACCCTAACGTACTCAGGGATGCAGAGACAATTTACCTGCAGTAGTTCAGGAGAAAAAAAACAAATTCCTTTGTACCATTCTTACAATTTTTGGCAGTTTGGGATTCTTTCAAAACCACACACACACACACACACACACACAACTGAGGGAGAAAAGACACAATTTTTAAATAGTCATCATTAATGGAAATGAAAGAACCTCATGAAGGAAGTTCTCAAGCTTGAACAAGGGAGTGACAATTAAAAGCAGCACGATTCCAGAGACTGTAGTCAGACAGTGCTTAGGGAATATAATAAAAATAGCCCCTGGTAATTATATAGCAAGATGTATCATGTAACCATGATAACTGCCTTCTTACATACTAGATAATTTATCTGTTATGTTTATTATTTATTATCTGTCTCCACCCCTTTAGTATGTAGTGCCATGAGGGCAAGGATCTTGTCTTATTCATTGATGATCTCAAGAGCCCAGAAGAATGCTTCAAAACACTGGCACTCAAAAACACTGGTCAAATGAATAACAATAAGTACTTTTTAAAAAAAGGTTTTATTTATTTATTTGACAGAGAGAGAGATCACAAGTAGGCAGAGAGGCAGGCTCCCCGATGAGGAGAGAGCCTGATGCGGGGCTCAATGCAGGGCTCAATTCGGGGCTTGATCCCAGGACCCTGAGATTATGACCTGAGCCAAAGGTAGAGGCTTAACCCACAAAGCCACCCAGGCACCCCAACAATAAAGTACTTTTAAATTCATCTGTTCTGAATGTTCCCATGCAAGACACCAAACTTGTGACCCATGCTACACTAATCCCCATAACCTTGCCAGTTAGGAGAAAACTAAGGCTCAGAGAGGTTAAGCAACTTGCTGAAGGTCACAGAGCCCTCAATGTTGGAGCCAGACCCCAACCCAGGTTAGTCTGAACCCAGACTTCTTAATTTCCTCCATGTTGCTCCTTCTGGAATTTGTGACTGGTGACTTTCCCAAAGCTAGGCATCTCCCTAGTAGTCCTTACTGTTCTCCTAGAATCCAGCAAAGAGTCGTGGGGAAGTGGTGGGTGAACGGGGATTCCTAGGGGTGTGAGGTTCCAGGGTGGACAGATCCCACTAGAAATGACTGAGTGGTTACCCCAACAAACATAGGGTATATTAGTTCCCCGGAGCTTCCGTAACAAAGTACTATGACAAACTGGGTGACTTAAACAGTAGAAATGTATTCTCATAGTTCTGGAGGCTAGAACTCAGAAATCAGCTTGTGGACAGAGCCATGCTCCCTCTGGAACCTATGGGAGAAGGAGCCTTCCTAGCCTCTTCCAGCTCCTGGTAGCCCCGAGGGTTCTTGGCTTGTGGCCATGTCATCCAGTCTTCACATGGCACCCTCCCCGTCTCTCTTCACGTGGTCTTCCCTCCACGTGTCTGTGTGTCCAAATTTCCCCTTTTACCAGGACACCAATCACATTGGATTAGGGCCCATCTTAACAACTTCATCTTAATTAGCTCTTAAATACCCTATTTCCAAATAAGGTCATATTCTGAAATGCTGGAGATTAGGACTTCAACAATTCTTTTTTGTGGGGGATAACAGGGAGAGCACAGTTCAATGGATAATAGAGGATGTGAGGTGGCAGTTCGTAGGTCTAGCATAATTTAGGAATCCCGAAGCACAAATTACCATTTCTGGAGAAGGAGCTGAGGCAGATACCAGCTTTGCAGTAGAAGGAGCCCCGAGGAGAACAGACAAAGACTGAACCCTTCCACAGCAGTGCTGATTAAACCCCTGCCATCCCAGCTCACAAGAATGTAAACTCCCTCTGCCAGAAGCCAGAGCAAAGAAAGGAGCACTTTCTGTTTGTCCACTGGAGGAACTCAATAAATGTCCCTTTCCCTCCTCTTCCTTCCCAGAGGGATGCCCCAACCAGAGACAGCCCCCCGGGGGCTCATCTAACACGGTCTGCTCTCTGCAGCACCAGAATTGTGTGAGAATCATAAAAGATGTTTTAGTACCAACTCTGGGTAGGACAACGTTCAAGAACGTTTAGTTTTCCCAGCTGCCATGGGGTGTCCCAGAGGAGGGAATATAAACTTCCAATCACAGCACCTTGGGTTTGATTCTCTCTGAAAACACTCACTGGAGCTGAGCTACGCTGTGTTGGCTGGTTTTGCATTGCTGTGGGTCAAGGACAGACTTGAGTCTATCACAACATTCACTCATGCAGGGCTGAACATTTGAAAAGAAAAAAAAAAATCTAAGGGACACTAAGAAAGGAGAGAAGCAATGGTTAAAGAGAAACCTTGCAAGAAAAATTCCTTGGAAAGACACTCAGAGTAGTTTCTGATGCCCACAAGATAACCACCTGGAGATAAATACAAATGGAAATACAGAACTGGAAAGAAAGATAGATTAGAACTAGGATGTAAATGTGGAGTGTCTGGAACTTCTCAGTGGAAAGAATTTTGAAGGGAGAAGGACCAATATTTAGTTCTCAAGCTTGGGAGGCACCAACCTTCTGTGACTACAGGGAGGCAGGTGAGCCAGCAAAGAGCCAGAGGGGAACGGGGTTCAGGGGAGTAAGGTGGAACCAGGAAAGCTTTGAGTCCTGGCTCCCCAGGGGGGACAAGAAGGGGCTGATCATGACATCAAAGGATGAAGCAGAGAGTTCAAACTCACAAAGTGGACCCTGATTTGACCAGGAGGTGCTCAGTAGAAACCCTGGAGTAGCTGCAGAAGAAGGGGTATGCTCGGGCTTTCTTTAGCTTCCGTCATTTTAAATTCTTCAGTGTGATTACTGAAAACAGCGATCTAAACTCCATATATCATATGGCATCCAGGATTATAATCTCATATAGAATTCAGAGTCACCTTGCCCAAAGATAAGGGACTTAATGCCCAAGCCTATATGGAAATTGGTTTAATAAAATCTACCTTACATCCTTGTCACAAGCATTGAATGACATAATGATGTAAAGTAAAGGGTTTGGTACTTGACATGGCTGTGCTCAGCATATGTTGGTTACTCTCAGTTCATATGCAGTTATTGCTACCCCATTATACTGATGAGCAAACTAATGCTCTGTGGAGTCATGTGACTTTCCCTAAGTCAGAGAGTAACAATAGAACTGCAACAGCCCCAGCCGCCATCTTGAGAACTCAGTCTTTCCTAGGCAGTATCTGCCATACCGTATCATTTACTTCTCATAGCTACTGTGTGGTGAGCAATATAGAGGAAACAGATACAAATTAAGATCTCACTAAATTATCCTGCCACATGAATATGGAAAATTAATATTCTAATAGAGTATGGTCCACATGAAAAGTAAGTGTCCATCATACATGGGGAAAAATGACTACCTTGTCCAGGGATCCAAGGTGATGCTTCTAGCTTCCTATCAGTGCTTATTAAGTACCATTATTATTCCCATGCATTTCATTTGATCCACTCAACAATCTGGTAAGATGGGTAGGGGAGGCAGGGTTCAGAGGATTCTATTTTATACTTGCGGCAAATGAGCGAAACTGGGATTTGAACCCAGATCTTTGGATGCCAGGTCTAGGCTTCACTCTGCTATGCCCTTCTACACTCTTCACAGATGTACCTGAAACCTCTTGCACCTGTCTGATTTAATGAAAGCAACTCTCTGACCCAGATTAAATCTTTTCAGTTGGCCCTCTTTGATTCTCTTGCCCACCTCCTTTGCTAAAGAGCCACCATCTAGGGCTTGTGTGCATTAGCTCACACTGGATCCCAGGGCTTTGAAGCCAGTGCAACTTAAATTGCCAGCCAGGGCACATTCCGATTTTGCATCCACTGCAAGAAAGAGAGGATTATTGGCCAAATGAGAAGTGGCAAATCTGGGGTCCATGCGTTCATCTCAAGAAGTCTCCTGCTTTTTGAAAACCCAGACCTTGCTGCCTTGCCCTCTCTCCACTCTAGTAAAGCCTTGGGGTAAGCAAGCCTGGACTGTTTAAACTTGAGCCCAGCTCTGACACTGAAATATTGGCTGTGTCTTCTCTTCCCAGTCTTCCCACACCTGGTGAAGGAACTCAATGCAGGCCTCCATGTGACAATTCTGCTGCTCCTCTTCTTGGCCTTGGCCCTGGCTCTGGTCAGCATGGGCTTTGCCATTCTCAACATGATCCAGGTTCCATATAGGGCAGTCAATGGCCCCGGGGGCATCTGCCTATGGAACGTCCTCGCAGGTAAGGAAGGCCCCCAGGGAGAGAAATTCATGTCCACTGCCACCACCAGGCTGAGTTCCAAGTAGGTAGGTGGAAGGTGTGTAGGAATTAGAACGCCCACCTCAGTCTTTACTTCCCTAAACTATAACCTTCCTCATGGGCATGAATGTCCTCTTTACTGAAAGTTGCAGAATCTCTGTCACAGTAAAGAGCGAAATTGATGGCTTGCATGAGTGGCTGAGGACTTGGAGCAAAGAGGAGAGGTGGGAGTAAGAGGAGAAGAGAGAAGAGAGCTGGGGGTGGAAGGGGGAAGAGAGGGCACTGTGGGTGGAGGGGAAGAGGTTGAGCCCACAGCTGTGAGGGTGGGAGGGAGCCTTCCAAATGACAGAAGATGAGGCACCTGGCCTCTTTTCATTTAAAGCTCACAACCTCCTTATGAGGCGGTATCGTTAGACCCATATTTACAGACGAAGATCCTGAAGCTCAGAGAGTTAAAAGCCTTACCCAAGGCCACACAACAATAGGTAGCAGAGGTGGGATTCCAACCAATGTACAACTAAGTCTAAGCCCTTTGTCTTTCCTTTAATCATGGTATCAATTATAACCATCATGACCTATTTTCCAAGACAAAAGACAAAAGTGTGTATTGATTGGGGATTATATTTTACTCCCAAATATATATAGATATATAGATATATAGATATATAGATATATATATTTATATATAATATTTTATATTATAATATCTTATATAATATACATATTTAATTCATGTTTAGCATTTAGTTATGCACTTAAAAAGCCATATGCAAAAAAATAACAAGATTCCCAGAAATGAAGCTGTTTCCGAAAACAGTCAAATGGTCAAGGATCATGATGGCAATAACCTATCCCTATCTTTGGGATAGGTTATACAGGGTGACCAAAAAGTGTACAAGGACATAATGTTGTTTTACCATGTATTGTAATGTAATGTCAGTAGATCAGTTACTGTGTATTTGCCTGCATTTGCAGACCACGACTATCCTATAGAATTACTTATATACATGGCTGGCCCCTTCCAAACTGCAGGTATCTTGGCTCCATCTGCATGAACCCTCCTAGCGGCTGACATGTAAAAAGTGCTCAGTCCTAGGATTAAATAAACGCTCCTCTCTGTCAAGTTACTGCTTCAGAGAGATGGCACTCTCAAGAACTACTGATGAGAATATCTTAAAAAGGCAGTTCAACAAAACTTTAGTGTTAAAAGTGTTACAAGGCATAAAAATAATATATATTTTTTAAAGACTGCAGAAGGAGGGGCAGAGAGGGGGTGGGGAGAGAAGCAGACTTCCCACTGAGCGTGAAGCTTGCGGCAGGTCTTTTTCCCATGACCCGGAGATCCCCACTTGAGCTGAACCAAGAGTGGGGCTCAACCAACTAAGCCACACATGCACCCCCAAAATATGAATATTTTTTAATTAAACCAATCCAAATAGGGATTTATGCTAAGGAAATAACTGGAAAAGAGTACACAGATGTATATAAAAAGGTGTTCACTGCAGCACTTTATAGTAACAAAACTTAGATGCAATCTAGATATCCAGAAATAAAGTCATACTCAATTAAACTTAATTAAATTGGTTAGGTGTGTTGCTTGAAGAACACATTATGCACCAGTTTAAAGTGGTGCTATAACAGAACACTTAACAATATAGAAAAATGTTCAAGTAAAGAGGGAAAAAAGAGCATTACACAGTAAAAGCTTCAGAATACAATTTTGTTAAAGAGGAAGAAATGTAAAGAAACACATTAAAATGTTCAAAGTATTTATACCCAGCTTTTAGGATAAAAGTGAATTTGTATTTTCATCTTTGTGACTTTCTCTGGTGTCCAAATTTCCTTTAACAAAGACATAATAATCTAAGCAAAAAAGCGTGATAAATGTGTTTTTTAAATATTAATTAAAACCATCCAGTAGAAAAGCAAAAAGGAAGAGCGAGGAACCTCCCAGAACACGGAGGTTGGAAGCAACAGGTAGGAAAGTGAGTGAAGTTTGGAACCGTTCCAGGTTCCCCTGTCTGCTTCCTCTCCTCTTTCTCTTACCTCCTCTTCTTATCCTTAAATGGAAAGGGAATGATTAAAGGGTGGTTAAGGATGATTAAAGACTTCTCACCTTGGAGTCCAGAGGTAGATCCCCACAGTGGAGGTAAAGTTTGCTTGAGAAAAAAAAAAAAATTGTTGTGTCACCCTAAGAATTTTTCAACCCAAAGCAAATGTGTCGCATGTGCTACAGAAGTGCCTTCTCGCAGATGGCCAGTACAGCTGTACCAAGGAGCGCTGAACGAGGGTGACGTTTTGGGTTGCAGGTGGAGTCGTGGCATTGGCCATCGCCAGCTTCATGGCCGCGGTCGAGTTTCACGACCTCACCGAGCGCATCGCCAACTTCCAGGAGAGGCTCTTCCGCTTCGTGGTGGTGGAGGAACGGTACCAAGAGTCCTTTTGGATCTGTGTGGCCAGTGCCTCCGCCCACGCTGCGAACTTGGTAGTCGTGGCCATCAGTCAAATTCCGCTCCCGGAGATTAAGACCAAAATCGAAGAGGCCACGGTCACGGCTGAGGATATCCTGTATTGATCGTCCTCTGCGGCTCACGCCCTTTCCTGAGTCAGTTCTGCGGTGTGAACCACCACCACATTTTGCGCGCAGGCTTTGCAGTCCAGAGCGCCCCTGTTCTGGAAGGTAAGAAGGAGAAAGTGGAGAGAGGAAGGGCGGTGCCTGGACCAGAAAAAAAAAGCTTTCCCATACTCCTGGCATCTCTGCCCTTCCTCTCACTGACCTTGGAGTTAGAGACTCTGCTCCTTGCCAGCTGTGTGGACACTGGACAATTCACTCAATGCCTGCTTCTCACTTTCCTCATCTGTAAAATGGAGGTAATAAGACCTCACAAGGTTGTGATGAGGTTTAAATGGGCAACATGTTGCCAACCTTTGAATCAATATATGTATCTGGGATTAGAGTCTTCTACAGATAAAAGGTAATGAACACTCCAATAAATGTCTATAGACCCTGTTCTGTTCTACACAATATGAGGGTGGAAGTAAAAAAGCAGATGGTAACACCCCTGCCCTTCCACATGACAGGTATCAGATAGCAACAATAACACTAAGAATGAAAAATAATTGCTTTTTTTTTTAGTGGTTACTATATACTGGACACTGATCTAAGAGTCCTACATATATGGGGTCCTCACTATAAATTCAGATTGTTGGTACTTTATTTCCACCTTATAGATAAAGAAACTAATGTATCCAGAGATCGGGTAACTTGCTGAGGTCCAGAATTCAGTTGAGGAAGTCTGGAACCAAACTGTATACTTGCAACCACTTTGCTAATCTGCTGTTGGATGGATGGTCAAGCAGTTGGAATGCAATGTGATAAATGTTATGACAGTAGGTGCATGAAGGACTGAGGGAAGGAATTCATTCTCCTGCATGGGATGTGGTACTAAAGGAAGTATCACAGAGCTGACATTTGATCGGAACTTCGAAAGATGAGTAGAGTTTTTCCAGTGGGGAAGGAAGCAGGTTTGCAGAAGGGCATTTTGGGATGAGTCAGCAATGAGGTGGGGTGGGAGGGCACAAGCGATGGAATTACACAGCGGGCCTAGAGACATGCGAACACCCAGACAGATTAGAATGTTGTTCTAATTCACCAGTTAGATAAACCCAGTTGCTTTGTGTTGGGTTTCCCTTCAGCGGTACAATGATGGTTAATTATATGTGCCAACTCGGCTAGGCCACTGTACCCAGATATTTGGTCAAACACTATTCTAGACGATTCTGTGAAGGTATTTTTTGAACAGGATCAACATGTCAATCAGTAGACTGAGTAAGAGAGGTTGCCCTCCAGCATGTGGGTAGGTCTCACCCAGTCTGTTGAAAGCCTTAAGAAAAAGACGGACCTCCCCCAAGGGACTGGGAATTCTGCCAGCAAGCCGCCAGGGGACTCAAACTGCAGTTCTACTTGGATCTCCAGCCTGCCACCCCAGCCTGCAGATTTTGGACTTGCCAGTCTCCACAGTCATGTGAGCCAATTTAAAAAAAAAAAAATTCTCATCCCTTCTTGGCCTTTTGGCTAAGATCAAGTGAAAACAAAAAATCCTCTGGGGTGCCTAGGTGGCTCATTTGGTTAAGCATCTGCCTTTGGCTCAGGTCATGATCCCAGGGTCCTGGGATCGAGATCCGCATGGGGCTCCTCGCTTGGCAGGCTGCCTGCTTCTCCCTCTGCCTCTGCTCCTTCCACTGCTCATGCTCTTTCTCTCTCTCTCATAAATAAAATAAAATCTTTTAAAAAAATTCTCTTTCCCTCTGCCTGTCTCTCTCTGTCTTTGCACACACACACACATCCTATTGATTCTATTTGTCTGGAGACTCCTTGCTCATACAGGTACAAAACTCCATTAACTCACTTTCCTACAATGCCAGCTGAGCTGACTCCTTTGTCAGGTCTCCTGGCTTCATGCCAAGTAAAAGTTGTCTCATTCCCTAAATTCGCTCCATCTAAAATGACACCCGACTTTGCTTAACGCTCAGCTTCTGGAGGCTTCGATGGCATCTCTCTGTTCTAATTGCTCATGATTCCCTGCTGGGCCCATCTGTCCCTTCCAGCCTTCTATCCCCATCCCACACACAGGGGCAGTACTGTTTACCAGACTGATGTCACTCATCAAATATGCAGATGGCACAGGGCTAGAAGGGGTGGTTAACGTGATAGGAGATGGATCCAAGAGATAGTGCCAGAGTGCAGTGCTGAGTTGAAAACAAGCGGAAATATCCATGTCCTATTAAATTTACCATAAAGTCCTCCTGACAGTTGAAAAATAAATCAAACAGAAGACTGGCAAATTTATTTATGATAACTCTCTGAGTCTTGGTACATTTATTCATTCAGCGAGTACTGAAATTGATCTAGGGGCTGGGAGTAGAGCAGAGAACAGACAGACAAAAATCCCTGTGATTCACACTGGACTAACAACATTAGTCCGGCCACAGCCTTTAACGTGATCAGATCACTGCTTCAGAGGTGTTCAGACTGCCTCGGCAGAGCAAATTCACTTTTGCCTCTAACAGTGGAATGACCTCATCAAGACGCTAACCTGGACAAAGATAGGGGGTTCCAGGGAGTCCAACTGCAGGCTTTTGTGAATTTTCCTGGAAAATGAGTCCAGAGCTTTCAAGGGCTTCAGAAGCATCAATAACACCTTGAAAGTTTTAAACCGTGACCACTAGGTGACACTGACCTGGTATAAACACAGCATCGTGTTCCATGAGGTCCTAGGGAACCCCCTCCACTCCACTTATGAAGTAACTAAGGTGATTCATAGGCTCTTATTTCCCCTCCTCCAAATTGCAGACTTGAGTGGTTCCCTGTTGCTAATGACGGTCTAAATAGGAAATAAACTCCTTCTTTAAAAATTAAGTGTCTGGGGGCGCCTGGGTGGCTCAGTGGGTTAAGCCGTTGCCTTTGGCTAAGGTCATGATCTCAGGGTCCTGGGATCAAGTCCCACATCAGGCTCTCAGCTCAGCAGGGAGCCTGCTTCCCTCTCCCTCTCTCTCTGCCTGCCTCTCTGCCTACTTGTGATCTCTGTCAAATAAATAAATAAAACCTTTAAAAAAAAATTAAGTGTCTGATGTTCAAAGTCACCAAAATGGGCTGTTCAGTATATCATTCATGTGAATGGAAAATCTCAGGCCCAGAGCCCATTGAAATGGTTATGTTTTCCCCACACCTAGAAAAAAGTCACCAAACTCACTTCCTGCCTAATGCTTCAAGTCACCCTCAGTAGCAGCTGGGGGTCAAACAGGGGAAAGAGGTTAATGTGCCTTAGGTGAGGTCCAGCCCTTTCAAGGTCTCCATTCCTCAAGTACAAAATGAGAAATTCCAAACTACATGACAATGACCACCATCTAGCGTGGGCGAGGCACCCTCCATACTTTCTTCCTCCTTCTGACAATTATTAAAAATAAGTATCTTTGTCTTTGTTTTACAGATGAGCGATTTTAGGTCCAGAGAACTGAAGTATTTTGCTCAGGCCACCCTATTAGTAAGTGATGGAGAAAGGATTCAACCCCCATCTACATGATGCCAAGGCCATTGGTTTTCCTGCTGCACCATGACTACCTTTCTTGAAAGACCTCTAAGGCTCCTTCCCAGGGCTTCTGCATGTGGCTGTGAGGGTTACACCCTGCCCAAGAGGTAGCTCTTCTAATCTAGCCCATGACCCCCTGCTTGCAATGGCCTGCAACTTCAGGAAAGTTTCCACCCAGAGGGGGTGTCTTCTAATGCTCACCGAAGTGTCTGATGGGCTCCCAGGACCCACTCCTTCTAGGCTAGCAGTCCATGCGAAGTCAAACTGTTAACCATAACACTATTCTGTAACATGGGTTAGAGTGTGATAATGATGATTAATTCTCGTATGTCCTTTAAAGGTAACTAGCATAAGCACACACTGATATATTATTACTGATATTCACTGGGGAGATCAAAGCCATTGCGACTGAGCTAATTTCAGAGAAGTAATTCATTATCAGCAAAACGAAGTGCTACTTCACGTTCACTCTGTGACATTTGGGTAATACGTGATGTCTCAGACCGTTTGGGCTGCGATAACAAATTACCATCAACTGGCTTACACGACAGAAATGGATTTCTCATGGTTCTGGGGCTAAAATTGACAATCAAAGTGCTAGATCTGGTAGCTGGTGAGAGCCTGTGTCCTGGCCTGCAGGAGGCCAGCAGAGAGAGGGAGACAGAGACCCCTGTCCCTTTGTATAAAGACACTAACCTCATTCATAAGGGCTCTACCCTCATGGCCCAAACCACCCAAAGTCCCCACCTCTTAAATACATCACATTGGGGGTTAGGATTTCAACATACGGATTTGGGGAGAACACAAACACTCAGGCCATAAAACAGGATTTTCATTAATGAAAATGTACCAATAAAGTATACAATTAATCAAAGACTTTGGGATAGCAAGAACGCTTCCATGTCAAATCAGAACAGCATTATGTTACAAACACACTCCTCTCTCTTTCAAGAAAAAATAGGAAACCCTGTGAAAAGGGAATTAAACAGTTCTTCACACTTCCAAAGAATGTAATGAGCTTGCACTTCCACTGGGGGGGAAAAATTAACTGTTTTCTAAATTGTAAGGTTGCTGTGCAGTAATTGGTGATCAGTGAGAACTAATGCATGCTATAGCAAAAGTTTCCAACATAATCCAAAATGACAATTGTATTAGTCTCCTATTGCTACTGAAGCAAATTGCCATGAGCTTGGTGGTTGATAACAACATGCATTTATTATCTGAAGAGTTTTGGAGGCCTGGCTGCCTGGGTGGCTCAGTTGGTTAAGCATCTGCCTTTGGCTCAGGTCATGATCCTGGGGTCCTGGGATTGAGCCCCGCATTGGTCTCCCGGCTCAGTGGGGAGTCTGTTGCTCCCCCTGCTTGTGTGTGCTCCCTCTCTCTCTCTCATAAATAAATTTTAAAATCTAAAAAAAAAAAAGTTTCGGAGGCCAGGAATCCTCAATGGGCCTTCTTCTGCCTTTCTTCTGGAGGCTCTAGGGGAGAGTGTGTTTTCCTGCTTTCCCACCATTGGGTTCCCCAATAATGGGT